TACTATGCTCAGACTGATATAAATAACTTTTTAATATGTTAAGATGCTCTACTGGACTTAAACATGATATTCGGATTTAACCGGTATAACCGGAACCGGCTAAAATTGGAACTGAACCGGACTCGGAATTAACTGAAAATGAGACTTAAAACATGAATTGGGATTTAAATATTAAAATATGGGTCAAACCGGTCTAAACCGGTCTGAACCGGTCTGGCCGAACCGCTGGCCTGCTGTGGCCGACGGTTAGCGGCTGACTCGGCCCACGGCCTTGCTGCATGATCAATCGAACATGAATTGCATGAGAGTTGTCGGGTAAAAACGAACTTCACTCGGTCACGGCCTCATATGGCATAAACCTAATTTTTCATGGTTCGGATAGCATGAACTGAACATGATACTTCTATACTGATCTTATTAACGTGAACTAATGAGGAAAATGATAATACCTCCTCAAACTCTCGAACAATTTGATGATGTCTCACGTGATATTCTCTTCCAGAGCGTGTGTACGGGTAAAATTCCTTAGTCTCCCTTAATCTTGCTTAATATTTGCTGAGTATATAGCTTAGGTAACAAGCTATATTTTGACTGATCTCCTGATTTTATAAGGGCTAAACGATGGTGAATTTGTGGTGAAAACTCTCGGACAATGGCCGAGCGCCACTTGCCGAGCGCACAAGGCCTCTTGTGTGCTTATTCACCACATTGTTTGCTTAGTCATGGCTCAATTACCTCATTAGCTACCATGTGTCTATAGTAATGATGATGGTACACGTGAATTGAAGGAGAGCATTTACTCTCGGCTATTAGTTCGGTTAAGCATGGCTTAGACGTGCTAAGGGCGTGCTTAAGCGCACTACTGGCCGTGCTAAGAATGCTTGATGCTAAGCTAAACATACTTATCTTAACCATGATTAACCTTAAACTAATCCTCATTAATGTTAATTAATCATCATTAACATTAAGCTAATCATGATTATCTTTAAGCTAACCATGATTAATTAGCTAAACATGGATTAAGTTAATTAAGCAAGGGTTAATGACCATTACTTAATTACTGATGGATGGTGTACCAATGTGAACGCGTCGCTGTATAGGAAAATTGAACTTGACATAAGGAACTTTAACTGAATTAATTGTCGAAAAATTATTCCGAACATAAACATGACATTCGAAAATCAATTCGAATATGCTTGATGTGGACGATGAATCCGAATATCGCTACTTCGAATAATTCGTCACTGTAACTTATTTATTCCGAACTCATTAATTAATGAAACAAATCGGAATTAAATCTGAAACTCATTCGGTTACTGGGATAATCAAACTGAATAATATATCAACTAATAGTCAAACTTGGAATATAACTAGCTGATTAACCTGAACTTGAACATGAACATGATTATTTATTAACAAAGGCTAGCTTAAAATTAAAAGCTAGAATTTTCCTTTATTAATAAAACTCGGGGTGTTACAATCCACCCTCCTTAAAATATTTCCGTCCTCGGAAATACTAAAACTGCATGTACAAGCTTAACATAAGCTTATACTTACCGATGACATGACTTGAGAATTCAGTACTTTAATACTGAATAATAGACTTGATCTGAACTGAAGATATATCAATTCACAATGAAGTGAATTGTTGATTACTGCTGACTGAGAATGGATACCTTCCTGAAAATAAAATGTTCCACTGATTATAACATGATCTCAAAACATAATTCTTGAGCGTACTGGTCATCATCTCCTAGCTGACTGC